TCCTTGTTAGGGCAGCAATAATTTCCCAGGGTTTGAAGAAGAATTCCCATGCTTTAAAATCTGTTATAGGTTCACTGAGTTATAGACTACTTTTCATGTTAGTTAATCAGCCCTGATTTCTCATTAGTTTACGTCCACTGAAACAATTCTTATGGTAGCAGAGAATTTTAAAATGTTGCTTGCTAATCACCAAAGTTACAAGTCCACTAGAGAAGATGTCAGAAACAGATATAGTGACAGCAAGAAGTTTCCCTTTCTTCCTGAAGAGGGAAAATTCCTCTTTAAGGACTTGTTATCCCAGGTTTTTATTCAGGGAGCTGTAATATATAAGATAGATTTGCTCTTCAAAATATTTCAATAGGGTTTCAGAATGGAACACATTTCTACAGCTGTTGCAGATGTTGGGAGCACTGCTGATAGTGATGGGTAGGTGATAACAAAAGCATACGGAGGATTCTGATTTGTTTTTCTGTAGAATGTTTTCATTAGCAAATGAAGATTACCAACAATTAGATGCATGTCAGATCACTAATTTGCTGAAATTCTAATGGAAATATAGGGGTTACAGCCCACCCAGAGCTCAGACTTGCCAGTAGCTGCCTTGAAGACAATAAGCAAGATGACGGACTAAAAGCTGCAGGAGCTTAGGAAAAAACCACAGGCTCTGAGCCAGCACACCCAGTGGGCTGGTATAACAGCTCTCAGGCTTTCTGGGGAGAACTAAAGTGTTCTGCATCTTTAGAGACCTATTTTAAAACAGAATAGTATTTTATTGTGCTTAATTCCACAATTAAGAAAGCTATGTGCCAGAAAAATGTGCTGCTTTTTGGCACTTTAAGACAGCACAGAGGAGAAGACATCAGCTCATACTATCAAAACCAAAATGATACCATTACTTAAAATCATTTTCTGGCACAACACTGACAAAATCCCTACCTCACATTGTTCAGTCCCTAAAAACAAGTCAGCTTTAGGTATTCCTTTCTCCTAGTCTCCAAAAAATTGTTGACGCTGTGCTCAGCAGACCTTTTGCAATGGATTTAATGTTACTGTCCTTTCATCTACTTCTGGAAGTCAAGATGATAAGAAACAAGGTAATCTGCTTCTGTATATTCAGAGGCTTCATGGTAGAAAAATGTCCACATTATTTTGGACACTTTCGAAACTCTGGGGTCCTAAAAAATTCTAGGTCAAGCAGTTATGATTTAAAAAATTTTTGCCTTGAGTCAAAACCACTTGAGTGGTTTTTTGACACTGAAGCCATGGGAAAAAAGAGAGATTAGTAAAGTTGTTGTATTAACTAAAGTGGCAAGAACATTTGCCAAAATAAACACCATTGTGTGTATGTCACTATACACTGTGAGGCTGTTAAAAATCAATGCATCTTCCCATATAAGCCACTAAACAAGAGAAGAAAAAGAATCCATTTTAAATAAGAAGCAAGGTCTCCCAATATTCCATAAATTTTGTTAAGTTTCATACAGGGAAGCCAAGTACTTGGCACATTTCAACAGCAGTAAAATGGTAACAGTTCCTTGTGAGAAGACAGAATTCACTGTGGAAACTACTCTGGAAATAAATTTTTTTTTTGGACCGTATCTTCCTAGTTCAGAAAACACAAAAGATTTGGAGTTAAAGAGAGTCAGATTTTAGTGAAACAAAACAGTGTATCTTTCTCATCTGATAGATGTGATGCAGTCTATACTGCTTAGATAGACTGAAGGCATGGAGAAAGGCAAACTGATTGAAACTCCACTATACTCACAGCTAAGACTTGTAGTCTTTCAGAAACAGCAAATATCTGATACTTTTATAGCTCCATCTTCTCTGTATTCTCAGATCACGTAAGCAATAAGATCCTCTGAACTATTTTTTCTCCACCCTTAACAAGCCCTCAGCCTCTCTTCATATATCATGAGCTTCTGACTCTTGGTGCCTTCCCCTGGATTCACTCCTGTATGTCACTATTGTGCTGAGTGCAGACATGGTCCTACAAGTGCTAAATAAAAGATACTTTCCAGTATCTGCTGTGAAGACCCCAGCAAATGCTGTCCAGGGTGTGCTGTGCACCATGACCCCAGAGCCTTTTCTGCAGAGCTGCTTCCCAACAGCTGGCACCAAGCCTTCCTTATGGCTGGGATTACCACAAACCAGGGGAAGGAGCTTTTGTTCTTGCTGAACTTCATAAGGTTTATGTAAGCACATTTCTCCGACCTGTCCAGGTCCCTCTGACAGCAGCCCTGCCTTCCCAATTTGGGTCACCCCCACCTGGTGTCACCTGCAAACCAGCTGAGAGTACCCTCCACCTCATCATGCAAGTTGTCAATGAAGACATTAAATAGGATTAGTCCCAGCACTGATTCCTGAGGGATCCACTACCTCCCGGCTGCAAGTTTGGCTTCACAACCTTGGTTTTATACGTCCAGCCTTTTTTCTGTCCACTTTACAGTGTCTTTATCCATCCCATGCCCCACTAATTTTGGGGGCTATGGAGGAAGCTACAGAGGGTGTCAAAGACCATTAAAATCAAAGTATATAAGAACTACTGTCTTTCTTTTGCCAGACTCCTCATCATGGCAAATATGATTTGCATATGGGAAATGTTTTTTTCTACTCCCATTCACCTTGCTGTCCTTTGTGTATTTACACATGACTTGCTCCAACAGTGCTCTCAGGGACTGAGGCGAGGCTGACGAGTACAGTTATTTGGAGCCTCCTTGTTATTCCTGACAATCAAGTTCTACTTGTGTATGAAATTCAAGTGATTTAGTGATGTCTGACTATGCCTTCCTCTGCTGGGGATACTGCATCACGTTCAAGGGCTAAGGGACCTGGAAGGCCTGAGGTCAAGCCTTGCAAGTGAAAACCACAGTGTAAAAGGTACCTTAGCCTTTCTCATGACCCTTGTCACTACGTTGACCATTCCAGCAAGCAAGAGGGTCTCTATTTTACTCCTGATATACTTTAAGAAACCCTTTTTATCTTGTACTTCCCGGAGCTGGAGCTTGCTCAACTCCATTCCTACATAAACAGACAATGTCTATGTACCCCTCCCAAGCAGTCTGTCTCTGCTTCATTGTAGGGTTTTTTTGTACTTGAGCTGAGTCAGGAGCTCCATGTCATTCATACTCATCTTCTGTAAAGCTTGTCTTCTGAGAATGGGGAGAACAGTTCTTGTGCTTAGAAGATGCTGTCCTTGCAGATTGGATAGCTCTCCTGGGCTCCTTTGCCCTTCAAGGATCCACAGGATCCTGCCGAGCATGTCCCTGAACAAACATCTCCTCTCATCACACTATTGATCATCTGTATCAAGAAATTGAGTTCAATCTGTTTCAGATTGTTTTCAGCCTTATTGGCTTTCCAGTAGTTACTGCTGAGGTTAAAGTCACCCAAGAATTTTAATGCCTGGGGCTAGGAAGCTTTTTCTACCTGCCCTAAGATTGCTTCATCTGGCTTCTCTTGTTGATGAGAAGGTCTAGAGGAGGCACCTACTACATCACCTATCTTGGTCTGAACTTTGATCTCTGTCCACAAGCTCTCCACTTGTCTGCCACTTCACCCAGGGTTCAGTCCACTCAAAACACACCTTTGTATAGAGACTAAAGGGAGAGCATCTCATACTGATGCCCTGTTAGTACCTTAAGGTACCTGTGCCTTGTATTTACAACTGTTTGCAATATTTGATCTAAAACCTACATAATTCATAACCTTGCAAATTTTAACTTCCTCCACATTTCTCAGATTTTGTTTCACTGCATTTCATTTATTATTTAGACTGTACATGATGCAATGTTTATATGATAATATTGATATGGATTAATAGAATATCCAGAGTTGGAAGGGATATACAAGGATCATCGAGTCCAACTCCTGGCCCTGCGAAGGACAGTGCCAAGAGTCACACCATGTGCCCAAAAGTATTTTCCAAATGATTCTTGAACTCTGTCAGGCTGGTGCTGTCATCACTTCCCTGCAGACCCTTTTCCAGAGCTCAACCACCCTCAGGAGGAAGAACCTTTTCCTAATTCCAGCCTAAACCTCCCCTGACACAATTTCAGGTCATTCCCTTGGGCCCTGACACTCGTAACCACAGAGAAGAGATCAGTGCTTGCCCCTCCTCTTCCCCTCAGAAGGAAGCTGTAGACTGCAATGAGGTCTTCCCTCAGTTTCCTCTTCTCCAGACCAAGTAACTTCAGTCACTCCTCATATGGCTTTTCCTCTAGGCCCTTCACCATAGATACATAATGTTATATATATAAAAACCCCAAACAACATATATATATAGTATTATCGATATAAACTTTTAAAATGCACAATTTCAAATATGTCACTAAAAAGCACAAACTTTAAAGAATTTCCCACTATTTTAAAAAACTTTTTTTTCTGTTAAAATATACCCTAGGACACAGATGTGTACAACTGTACTTTCAAACAAGAAAATAGTGCACTTTAATTGTGCAGTGTTCAGTGTCTCACAAGTAACTACCTGCTATTATGTGCCATAATACCCAAGTCTTGTTCTGTGCCTGTCTAGTCATTATGCTACGGAGTCATTCAAACCACAGACTGCTTGACATCCTACTTTAAAATATCCAGAGTTTTTAGCTGGTATTTGCCACTTATATGCAATGGCATGATAATTATTAGTTTAGTAAGTGCCTATAGCAAAGCTTGTTAAAAAAAGAATCTTGACTTAATAACATTTTACAGGTTATTTTTACTAGGATTTAAAAGTTTAGCTGGAAACCTCTAGTCTTAGACCATCTGCATACAAAGAAAAATAATGGAAAAAAGAGCTCTGCAACACCCCTAACACCTCTCATCACCTACCAAAAAAAAAAAAAAATCCCTACTGAACCCCAAACTCCAAAGTTTTTTGTTTACCACAAATTTCTTTTAGCTAAGAATTTCTATCTGGCATTGTCAGTTAATTCATCCGAGCCAGACTTTGATGTGTAACTTGATTTCTTCAAGCTAGAGATGAAGCACCAATTGCTTACCTGACTCACACGCAAATGTCTTTGATGTCTCATCATGAAAGATAATTGCCACTGCATGCTTCTTTGTCTCTCGAGGCAATCTGGTTATGTTTTTGATATTGTGCAGCTCAGTTACCTTAAAATGAAGAAAAGTATTTTAGACCGGTATATAAACAGTACAAATAAAAATATTAACCTTAACTGCTCAATTTTTACTACAAACTGTATTTCCCCTGCCCTAGTTTCAGCCAGAACAGGGTTAATTTTTTACAGTAAGCAGGAGAGGTGTGTGGCAAGGCCCAGATGTTATTCCATTCCACCTCGCTCATTGCCAGGGGCAGGGGTAAGGAACTCTCTCACCTTCCAGTGGGGAGAAAGCATGGTGGGGGAGAGTCAGATATTGTCGCAGACTTTTTTTCCCATGTAAATTGTTTCTTGGTCTAATACCTTATGCCGTTTATATTGCTGCTGTTACTGTTCATTTTCTTGTCTCACTGCTGTTTCTAGTAAATCATTCTTATCTCAACCCATGATTTTCAGCTTTTGTGCCTCCAATTCTCAACTCCCTCCGAACGGAGTGCGAAGGGGAGGGGAAGGAGGGAGCGAGTGAGCAGCAGTGTGGTTTAGAGTCTCTGTGGGAGAACTAAACTGGGGAGTACCATTCCTAAACCCCTAGGGTTATTTATACTTGTAAGCTTTGCAATTGATAAAAAAACCACACAAATAGGTAGAGTCTTAAGTTGCAAAACTTAACTCTAATAAGTCTATTTCTATAATACATTTCCACAAAATTCTGTTTCTTTAATAAAGTCCTATGTGAAAACAGTTTAAAATGACATCAACTCAGCCTTGGGATTTTGTATAATCTATTTTTCAATTTCTATGCTCATGCAACTTGGATATTTTTCAATTTCTATACTCATACAACTTGGATCAGTTTCAGAATCTGCATCAAATACAAAACCTAATGTTGGAAGAAAAGTGTTTCATTAGCTAAGAGAGGTACCTCAAATAATATGTCAAATCGTACCACTACATTTGTAAGGATACATCCTCATATGTCTTTAAAATGTATCTGTCATCTCAAAAGACCTCAAACTTTTATTTTCTAAATATTTGAAAACCTTATCAACAATAAAATATTCTTGCAGCAAATTTACAACATAAAAATTTCAATCAATTTCCATTTTCTTTTGATGCAAGTATATAACTGCAATAAAGAAAAATAGAAGAAAAATATGTTATTCAAACCAGAGCTGGTGGCCCAGCCTATATTAAACTGCTTAACACTTCATATTATAAAATCTCAGTTTCTTGGAATTCTGGGCAAACTATCTGTTTAGAGTCAGGTTTTTTTTTTTTAAGGCAGGACATTTGCCTCAGGCAGAATTAATTTCTAGAAAAATGTCATCCATGAGTTTGGACATTTATGACTACAGAAAAAAATGAACTGAATGTAGGTGGGGTTTTTTTTGTTTGTTTTGCTTTGTAATTGTCATGCTCCTAGTGTACAGTTCCAGCATTTCTTTTCACATGCTGAAAGCAATGTTTTTAAAGCAGAAGAGATTTTATACGGTGCAGTAAAAAAATGGAACACGTTGGGGCAAAGACATTTCAATAAAATATTGATAGCAGATGAGCAGTGAGAGGCATCAAGCCAACAAAAGAAACTGAGACAAAGCATGAAATGGAATGTATTATGTGCTGACGAACTTGAGACCAGAGCTGAAGACTGCTCTAGAGTCTGTCTTGACAGCCTTCAGCAAAACTCACTCCAGTTTGTCAATATTGTTGTTGTAACAGGTGGGCCAAAGATGGCTATGGTACTATACATACAATCTAATGTGTGCTGAATTGAGGGGAATAATAATTGTCTGTACTGACTAGCCATGGCTCTGTCCATACAGCCCATGGAGTTTTGCTGGCTGAGGCACCAAGATCCAGGGCCCTACCTGCAGCCTGCTCCCAGCTTGTTAATGCCAAACCTGTGCCATTGCAGGGGCTCTTCTATCCCCAGGCTGGCACCTGGTTTTTGCCCTTATTCAGTTTAACAAAGTCCACGTCAGCCCATTTGTCCAGCCTGTGCAGGTTGCTGAAAAGGTAGCCTGACTACCAAAAGCACATCAACTGATCCTTCCCAATTTACTCTCTGCACAGTTGCTGCAGCTCCCTTATTTCCCCCAGGTCCCTGATAACAATATCAAGAGAGGTCCCAGTACAGACTGCAGCAGTTCCACACTTGCTACAGACCTCCAAGTAGGTTACAACCCATTAACCACAACTTTCTGGGTCTGGCCAGCTGACCAGCTTTACATCATCTAGACATCCACCTGCATAAATAATAATGTCCCAACTTCAATTTGAGAATATCATGGGAGAAAATGTGAAAAGCCTTGCTAAAGCTCCTCTCAGCACATATCATAGATGGTGATCACGCTGGTCAGGCATGATTTACACTTGGTAAATCCATGCTACCTTTCCCAAATACTATCTTTTCCTTCATGTCTGAAAATATATTTTAATATGATTTGCTCCACAGCTCTTCCTATAGGCTGAAGTAAGACTGCCAGAAATTCTTCAAGTTGACCTTTGGCTGACTGCCAGAATTCTCTGTATTCTCCAGATTGACCTTTTGGCCTTTTTTTTTTGGACACAGGTGCAACATTTGCCTAACCATTTAGTTCCTAATCCCTTAAAATTGTAACTTTTGTCATGCATTTTCAGGGCTTTGTAAGAATCCATGTATTTCACTACTTGTTGGCTTGGGGGAAAGAGAAGGGCTGAATACTACAAATATCCCTGTCCCATCAAAGAAGTTACTGAAATATCTGTTGATTTTCCTTATCTATGCATGGTAAATGAACTAATGTGTCAGAGGGCTCTTATGACTCACCCAAAGCATGAATCTCAAGGAAATCCCCCAAAAGGGGAAAGAAAGCATTAGCAGGCAGAGAGAGCAGACTCTAGAATTCAAAACCTGAGGGAACAATACCAAATCCATAAGTCATTACTGAATTTTGAAGACAGAGAAGGCCCCAAAGTCAAAGACAGGGTACAGATCTATTAGTCTTGCTAAATTAGAAGATATAAGAGCAAAATATTTAAGAGGAATTGGGACACAAAAAAGTTCAAGTTATTATTAAAGAGAATTAAAAATATAGCTGGCAGTGCAATAGGAAAGGGAAAACACTAATAGAAGGAAAAAGCTCCAGTGATTCTTACACAAGCAATTGATATAGAAAGTGACATTTTCACATTAGTGTGCATGTGTGACAGTGTACACCATGCAGAAAAAATGCCTCAAATCTTGCTGTACTTAAAAGGGAAAATTTCTCTTTCTGGAATACCAGAAAAGGAAAATAGAATTGCTTTGAATAGTGACAACAAGCCGTATTAAGCCTTCTTCTATTCTCTGTCATATAGTAGAGATCTATCTTTTTCTTAATACTTGAGTGTTACAGATTACTGAAAGATCCTGTAATGTTTATAAGATAATAATGATAATAGAGCAAAAAAATCTTACATTCCTGGCATAAAGCTACAAAATTTTGAGATTAATTTTTGTTTGAAACATAAATACAGACATACCTGATTACACACATGGCCATCTGTAAATATTTTTTTGAGCCATCTTATTGATCAGTACATTAATCCTGCCTTGTTTAATATAGTCACATATGCAACATCCATCACACACTTATGAATATTGTTAGCAAAAAATGTACATACAACAGAATTATTTTTATTTGCCGGTGGGAATTTAACGTCTGAAAGAGACAATGAAAACATCCCCAATTCTTATGTGCTGTTTTTGATGCCCATATGAGAGATTAGGTTGATAAAAGGCAAGTGAAGAAAAAAAGTCTTCATGCAGGAAAAAAGGGTATTTGATTTAATTTGATTTAAACACATTTCAATTTTCCTTTGTCTCTGGAATCATAGGACCTCCCTAGAAAGCACAAAACTTCTCATAACTCCAGCATGACAGACAAAGTTATATGAATTGCCTCTTCCAAACTCCCTGACTTTTACCTTTTTTTTTTAAGACAAAGGTATTGAGGGATTTGTAGTCTCACACAGAAATCATACCCCTTTTGTGTACACCTTTGCATAAAAAATGGATCTATTTGAAACTACTATGAGATATTGTGAGACATTTATTTCCTTGTCAAATACTATAGTGGTTTAACACGGGTGGCCAAAGAATTTCTGCGAGTTAAGCTTTTTTTTTTTTTTTTTTTTTCCAAAAAACATGTCTTTCTCATTGGAATCCTTTGCTTTACAAGAACTGTAGGAAATAATTTTAGCTATAACATTTTGAGGACATTATAATGATTTTAGGAAGTATAGCTTTACTGTCAAGCTAACAGAAAAATAAATGAGAACACTTTGGGAACACAAATTTACCCTAACAACTAGAATGGCCATATTATCAAATAAGCCCCTCAGTATTTATATTGGTTATGAAATTTTCAATATCAAATACAGATGAATATTTGCTTCAATGTTCATCTTTCCAAATTGTACCATATGCTTCCTTCCATGGTCAGAGCAGAAAGACAGAGGAAAAACTGTGAAAGTCTATCCTCCCATTGATAGAGAATTAAGTAAATGAAATTCTGAATTCTGGATTTAATGCCAATTAAGCATGAGTCATTTCTCTCCTTGCTGAACATGTGCAATTGAAAAATAAACACCAGAGAGTATATTATATTGCATGAAGGAAAAAATGAACCTTGCCTTGGCAACCAGATTGCTTTATCTCAAGGATTTTTAAAATTGTGTCTTAAATTTTATCAATTATTTAAAAAAAACCCCAAAAAATAAATAAGCATTTTTATAAGGGGAAAAGTATCAAAGCAACCGAAAAGGCAAAAAGAAAACTTATAACTTATACTTATAACTTATACTACTTTGAAATAATTTACAACATCATTTCACAGATTTTGAGAAGGTTTTAAAAGACTAATACAATTGAAAAAAATATGAAAAAGTCCCTGTTTTTTATGAGTAGTACATTAGGTATATCTACTTTTTTAAGCAAGGAACATTATACCAAAATTTGCTCCCTGTGGTATTATAATGGACTTGTTGACAAAATTCAGTCTAATACATTGAATATATTATTTTTCTTGA